ATTATAATAAAGCAATTTATATGCATGAAACAAGTGTAGCAATATGGCAATTGCCATACTGCTACACTTGTGAAAGTAAAATCTGTTGGGCTCTTTTTGGCATCAAGACAATTATTCTTATTGCCACATTGCCAGACAGGACACTGTAAAAAAAAACAAAAAACAAAAAAAACAAAAAAAACAAAAAAAAAATAAAAAAACACACAGCACACCAAGGGAAAATAGTCTTTAGTATGGACAAAATGCTTTACCCAAAGTCTTGTAATAAAATTCACCAACTCACTTGAAGAGCTCCTGCCGGGAAATGGCCCTGTTTGTTAATGGGTCAATGGCATACACCATTAGGTCTGACTTAGAATAGTCCTCTAGCTCAAACCCATCACCATGCCGACGTGGCCCAATCGACTCAACGATCACCTTGGCACCGGGAATCTGGTCCTGAACATGTCGTTCCAGAATTCTTAAAGCAAAAAAGCAAAAAAAAAACTCAAGTCAACTTTATGAACAGAGGTAACACATTTCTGCCAATGGAACAAATGTATATATTCATACTTTTTAAAAACATCCAGCAAAAAATCTGGTTTAATGTTAAAACAATATATTCTTTTACAGCAATATGGCAGCGTAATCCTAAGTAGTTCACATTAGAAATGGTTGTGTGAAGAAAAAGCTATTTTCCTCTAAACATTGGCAAAATGAGGCTTTGATAATCTTTCTCAGGGAGAGAGAAGTCCAAAACTTAAAATGCAACCAAGCGATAAAATGCGTCACCCCTGTATGTCTCTGTTTTGTTGGGAATTTGGAACATCTAAGTTAAATGCTGCTTTAACACCTAATCAGTTAATACCCCCGATACAAGCCATTAATACCCATGTTTTCTAAGCTAATAAAAAGCATTAATTGTTTGAAAAAGGCTACAGTAAGTGTTTCAAAAACAAATGATAACACCATTTGATTTTCGGAGGTGTTAAATATACGACAAGAGGCACGGAAAGAATTCACATTACCAGCATTAACCTCTTGGACACTAGGCCTGTTTTCGAGAAATATGCTTGAAAATAACATGACCAAAATGAATTGAATATATCTCAAGACCTACAGAGTTTATTTTAATTGTTTTGGTATCAAAATAAAGGCAAGACCCCAGAGAATATGTTACAGGTCTAAAAACCATCTTGGGGCGAGTGCTAAGGACCCAAATTTGGGTCCTCATGTTATGAAAAGGTTAATTAATTTCTCTTAGAAATAATATCCACTCATTATCTGTATCCCCTGTTACATTTAGAAACATGAATGTAAGGAGAATGCCAATGGGATGAAAAAACATCCACAATGATTTGCTTCTTTGGTGAGAGTTCCAGTGTCAAGCAGAATAGAGGTCAAAAACTGGTGCAGCATGCTTAAGACAGATAAGAAATCATAGACTGGCACAGAGACAACAAAAAAGAAAAAAAGCAGCCATGTGCACACAAATGCAAAGTAACAAATTTGTTCTGCTATACGTGGTGAGGAGCATGTGTTGATTTCCATTCCTTTTGAACCCATTTTATGCCTTAACCCTAAAACAAACCTAAAATTAACCATTACCAATGCATACCTCATCCATAACCCAATTGACACCTTAGCCATAAACCTAACCATTAGCAAAAATACCTCGTGGGAACCAGTAACGTGTCCTCACTTTACAACAACTGGTCTTCATTGTAATGGTGTAATTGGAAAAGCGGTCTTCACAATGATTCCTATACAAGTACGACAGCTTAATATAAAAAATATAAGTATATGTTGTTTTAAATTGAAGTTTAAAAACAAACGGAATTTAAGAATTTTATTGGCTTTTAAACTATTGTCATCAGCTCTAACAGAAATAACAGAAGAAAGGAAAGAAGGGAAAAAAATCTTTAAAGTCCAGCAATTTGGACATTTGTCCTTGGTGAATAACCTATAGTTAAGGGCGCACTGTATCACCATTTGAAGACAATCTGGCATTGATGGTCTTCCGTAGAACCTCACAGTACCAGTCCTCACAGTACCAGTCTGAGATTCAAACTGATCTTACTGCCTCTCCAGGACCCTGCACTAGCTAAATGCTGGAAACATTTCCCTAGGAGAACACATTTTTAAAGTTAAAAATTATAAGTTTTTTTAACTGAATTGCTAAAAAAAAATTAAATATCAAAAGAAATTACATTATTCAAGATGCCCCTATATGTCTGTTCTATTCCTTACTGCATCATTAGAGCCCTTCTTTAGGTAAATACTTGAGCTGGCAGTTGAAGGTCATCTTTATGGGCTTTTCAAGTGTCTTTTTGTCTCTAGAGAAGCCAATTAGTCTTTATCTTCCTGATCCTTGATGTCAGTTTGGTGCATAACCTATTTCTAACAAAGTCGCTTCCATCTTATGTGAGTGAAATACTGGTTCTTCTTGAGTCAATGGTTAGTCACTGCGTAAGACACAATGTCAAGAGAATACAGGTCTATATCTAGGTTAAGCTCATATGAGAAGTTTTCAACAATTGGACACAAATGATTAAAGGAATTAATGTTGCAAAAAAGAAGTAAAAAAATAAAAAATGAAAGGTCACAAATAAGTGACTTTTTCATAAAAATTGCACAATTCATTAAAGTAGTGGTAAGTATGAAGTTAGATTTATAATTTAATTCAGTTGAGCTCAATTCAGTTCAATTCAACAATTATTTATTAAACCCAATGGGAAATAAAATGTTGTAGTAACTTATGGGAGGAACTGATCTTTCTCAGTGCCACATCTTGCACCCGATCTGAAGAAGCCTTTGACAGAAGGAACTGTTATTGCAGTCTTCTAAAGAGGATGCTCACATTTGTCAATAATGTTTTTCACTTTATGAAGATTTTTTCTTTGTGAAATCATCACCTTAGGCTTGAGAGAAGTTCCAAGAACACAGCCTGCCTTTTTTAGCTGCTTGTTGAGGTGTTTTTTATTTATTAGCTCTCATGCTGTTACCCTAGTACAGGGGTCGGCAAACCACGGCGCCGGAGCCACATGCGGCTCTTTAGCACCCGCCATGCGGATCCCTGGACCTTTTTTAAAAAATGATAAAATAAATAAAAATAAAATAAATAAAATTTCTTTCAACGAAAATTTGCATCATAGTCATAGAGATCAGTGGATATAGCCTGCAACAGGTTTTAGCATGACGCGGTGGCAGGCAAACAAAGCTGCCGGCGTGTCTCGGAACATGGATCCTAAAGGGTGTTAGGTTTATTCTTTTATACATCATGTGCATTGTTACTTTGTAAGTCAGATTAGACAGAGTAGAAGGCCTTCCTTCACACTGTGGATGTCACGGTGTGTACAGAGGTCATCTAATCGGGACAGCCATTGTGTCTTTAAGAGTACACAGGATATGGGCACATCTTGGAACCGGTCTGATAGGAGAGCTCTGTAACCCTGAAGCATAGATAATAACTTGCTCCCAGGAAAAGAACCGGTGAGAAGGCCCCCAGGGCGCTACAGCCTTCCTTCCAACGGGACAAATCCTTCTCATTTTAACAAGGGAAAATAGGAAAATAGATGATCAGAACAGAGGATTCAAAGGAGAATGGACCGAATCATTTGCATTAATTTTCAATGCAGAAGGATTGCCTGCAATGAGACAATGAGAGGTTGTCAAAAAATAAAAAGAGTAATTTGGAAAGGCATTTCCAGGGAAGGCATGCTAAAGTTGCAGCTGACCACCAAGTTGGGAGTGAGAGAAAAAGCGTGATTGCAGAACTTCTGTATAAATCAGAGGAGCTTCAAGATAGATTTAAGAAGTGGATTGCATCTCCAAACTCCACTACTGCTGCTAGTTTTGTTGCAAGCATGGAAAACCATTCACAGATCCAACAGGTAGCGCTCTTATGCAGGTATGTGATCTTTCTTTAATTTCTTTTCACCCAAGCCCTCAAAATAAAAATATCACCAAGGAACGCTGGTGATGGAGGATGTTGGATCCCGGGGTTAGAGAGCGCTGCTCTAATGGATGCCAGTTCCTGCTTGGTTCCCTAATGACTCAGTCAACTCCTCCCAACAGAAACACGTCCACCATAGAAAGATTCATTTATCTCGTTTCTATAATTTAATCAATGCAACAAAACCTAAACTGTGTGGTGAAGGGCTGTGAAGCGGCTCACGTTAAATTCCACATGGTGAGAGCGTTCACTGCTCCTCCCTCACCCCATGATACTATTTGCCCCAGAATAAACATTTAATCATGAATGCTTATTATATATTTAAGCCCATGTAGCTGTTTTTTATAGTGAGCTAATACATTTATAGCCTGTGTTGCCATATGAGGCTTATATAAGACTTTCATATTTTTGCAGGTCCAGACAGATTTGTTTTTTGTTGTTTTTGGTCCAATATGGATCTTTGAGCTGTTTAGGTTACTGATCCCTGCCCTAGTGGATAATGGCAGAAGAGATCAAATTCTTCACAAATGACTCAGAGAAGATTTGCAGCATCTTGCTGCAAACACAGAGAGACATTTATAAGTAGTCTGCTCTGTCCATTCTTTTAGATGGCATTACAGCGCTTTTTCGAAATGAGTGTGGGTTTGTTGAAGCAGGTGCTCAATGGCATCCTCAAATCTAACTCCATGGCATTAAGCAGTCTTGATAGCTGCTTATTTTCTTGCTCAGGTGGACGAACTGGGGTATATCTAGTGCCTTATTGATGTGGGATATTAGGGCAACAGGTCAATAGTCATTGAGGACTGTTGGCTGTAGAATGTAATTTGGAAGGCAATGTGGAAGGCAAGACGTCTTTCATATTACTGAAACCATCTCCTGGGTCTGGCCAAGGTTTAAGAGCTGTTGTAAAATCCTCCTCCTCTTAGTCGTCATCTCCCGTTTCATTCAAGAGTGGGTCACCAGTCTCAGGAAAGCCTCCCAGATTCCCTCCTCCCAGATACCTCCCCCAGCTCATCTTTGAGAATCCCAAGGTTCACCCATGCCACCTGAGAGACATAGTTAACTGGCATCTCCTGGGTCATTCTCTAGACCCCCTTCCTGTGGAACGTTAATTACTTTTTCCCCCAATAAAATACTTAATAGGCTGGAGAGGTGGGTAATATCTAGTTGCATTAATTCAGTTAGATTTACTTAAGAAACATTTTAAAAGACATATCATTTTAGGGAGTATTTTTTTGTTGGATTTTACTGTATGTTTTACTTTGAAATATTACTACTCTTACTTGGGTGAAATTTCTGGCTACTCTACCCATTGTTGAGTAACTTCCCTCACTGAAAAGAAAAAGCATGTTTGCAATAAGTTTCCACCAGAGAGAATACACACCTTTGTTTAAAATAATTTCCAATATTCTGATCCGACTGAATCATGTAAAAGGTGAAAATACAGTAAAAAATGTTAACTTACCATGGTCACATATTGTAACTAATTTTCCCAAAATTAAAAAGATATTAGCAGTTAGCAATCCCTTCAGCTGCACATAGTCCAACATAAAGGTAAAAAAAAAAAAAAAAAAAAAAATACTAGAATGAAGTTAGGAGAGCTACTCCAACGAGCCACCACCATGAGCCTTTTTAATATAGCATTTTTAAGGTAATTCTGTGCCGTCTAATTTATTTATACATCAGCAAACCGCTTACAAAATAAGAAAATAAATTATACAAAGCTTGGTATTACCAAAACCTGCTTGCATATTTAGTAAAAATTGATATTGCAAGTGACATGTCTTACCTAATGAGCTCCTCTTTGTTCTCTTCCACTAAAGTGGGAGGTACCGTGGAGACAACAACCTGCATGTCTAATGCATTGACTACAGAAACCTAAGAGAATGAGTGGAGCACAGAAAAGAGAAAGAAAACAGGAAAAAATGGGACTGTCAGTTAAAAAGACCACAGGAAATCAAGATAAATGGTGATTAGGCGTGTTATTCATGTGTCCCACTGTGAGTTTGGTCGACTCATTTAAATGATTCTTTTGATGCAGCAAGTCAGACCCTCTAATTGCCTGCTTGTATTGGTGCCATGCGGCAAACCGAGCAGGTCTATAATTCTGATGCCACAGTTAAGTGCATAGGCAATGGCCTCTGTGCTCTGAAGCCAAAAGTCCCATGTGGCTCTTGAAAAATTAGATTTTCCCTTAAAAATTAACGAGTGCCATGGTTATACACTCACTGCTCTCTCATATTGAGGCAATGTCCCAGACCCTCCTTCTGCCTCATTAGAGACTTGTTAGCTAGACATATTTCATGGAAAGTAAAAAAGCCTCCCCACAGTCATGGCAAAAAAATAAAAATAAAAAAATTAAACTAACAAAAACCTAACCTGATTTGGGAAAACAGCAGAAATAGATCTATTGGTGTATTAACATATCACTATGAAAAAGGCATAAATAATGCAAGGCATATTGACATAATATTTTTAGTTCTTTTTTACTGGAAGAAAATTAATTAATAACAGAAGAAATTTAATTGAATAATTAGCAAGTGGCAAAGGCCCAATGTTAAGTGTTTTGTACCTACTGTGAAGTAAAGCAAAGCCATCTCTTAACAAGCTATGACCATAAAACACACAAAACATTTTTAACCAGGGCAAAACATTGTTAACCTCACTAATGATTGGCCTAGTTGTTCTGGAGAATGTTTTGAGCACTTATTGTGAATAGTATTTTTTTTTCTGGAACTTGTACTTAAAAGCTTAAGGAAGCCCATTCTGCATCAACTTATGATGCAAATGCCATTTAAATTCATATGTTGCAAGCAAAACAGTATCATATGGTTAGTTTGTGAGATAAACATAACAACTGCAAAGTTTTATGTTCAATTTTCCTAATGAGTCATTAAACAAAAATATATATTCAGATGTGAAGAAGGAAATAACAAGTAATTCATGCATTCAATGAAAATCTAATGAAAATACTTTAAGAAATGATGTGTTATAGTGGATTGAATATTAAACTTTGTGGTTAAACTAAATCAAATTTTGCTTAAAATAATAAAGTAACACATTGCAAAAAGTAGAAAAACCACCTTCAGTTAGATGTAAACTGTAAATGTTCCTTTGTTTTGGTCTATATGCTGAAGAGTATAAAGGATTTTAAAAGGGGCACTTTCACTCTAACTGGAAAGGATGTGTTGAACCACTACGGTTCTGTTTTCTGTGTAGTAATTCACTCAATTAGCCCTAATTTAGAATACTTACCACCACTTCAGCACTGCTGCTAAAACCTTCCCCATAGTCATCAGTGGCAATAACTTCAAACTTGAAGTAAGACCTGCGCATATTTCGAAACATGATGGCTGACTTAATGATACCAGTGTAGGCCTCTATGACAAAGCTGTCTTGACCCTCTGCTGTTGGAGGTATAATCAGGCGGTATGCCATGGCACTGAAGTTCCCAGTATCCTTATCAGTGGCCTGGAATGGAAGAGCAGCATATAGTAAATTAGAAAACATATAACTTGGCAAAATAATTAGAAAAAGAGTCAACTGAATATGTTGCATTAAGTGCTCTAATTCATCACAGTACAAAACCACCATATGACATGGCATACTACAGCTATTCCCCGCTATCATACAAGTAGTCTACTGTATCCATGTGACATGATGCAACAGTGTCTCACTGCTATATCTATTAGTCACAAATTGAAATAATTTTCCTGTGGCTTCTGTGCATCCCATTATTAACATACGAGCAAAATAGTAGTTTTCTCAGACACTCTGTTACTGCTACAATAATAGGCCTAATATGATAATACCACTTTCTGCTTTAATCACTGTTTTTTTTTAATTCTGGATAACATTCTTATGTATATCAGACTTAATTTACATCTACAGTTATACAATTAAATAACCCAAGCTATGTTTTTAAGGTTTGTGTACATCAGCCAAGATCATGCTTTTTAGTTTGAATTGGTTGAGATGATAGGGGTCTGCTTTGACCTTGGTTCCTCATGGATTAGCAATTATCTTCAACTAATCTGATTTTTGTGAAAAAAAAAAAACAAAAAAACAAAACAACTAAACAGTAGATTAGGAAAGACGTACAGTATGAGATATTGCCTCGTTTTAACTAACTTTTAAAACATCAGTTATAAAAGACTCGAAGATCTCGAAAAATCCCTTTCTGACACCATAGCATACATAATTAATTTGATCTCAATCTAATCCTGGCTATCATAGATGGTTTGAAGATTTAATAAAATGTTTAATGAATGGTATTTTTTATTAACCATGCATATATGCTACTGCTGCAACGTTCACCAACATGGTAATTTATGAGAGTGATCTTAAAAAAAAAAACAGTAGCTACGTTAACCATATAAAAGTAATTATTTTTTAATCTAATGCTATGCTATGCCAGCCTATTGACATTCATAGACTGTGCACAGGACTTTGAATCTTCATTACAACAATGATTTGTGAACAAGTACAGAAAAAGGGGATGATACAATGGGAACAGAAGCATTTTCACAAGGCAAGAAAAGTTTATTTAGCACAGCTCAATAGCAAGACAATTCAAATAGCTGTACATAACAGTAAAACATAGAGAACGGTACATTGCAAGATACAAAAAAAAGAGTAACAATATGATTGATAATAAAATGAAAGAAAGTTGGACTGCAAAGTTGAACTAATTATATGTCGAATGAACACTAAAATCTAATCCACAATCTGTTTTACACATCCTGAAACAAGTGTACTATACAATATGGATCCCATAATAAGTGACACACATACTTCATCAATATGACAAAATACCTTTCAGGATTCATTTACATTCACTCAAATAAGAAACAGCATGACATCTGTTTTAGGGTTGACCACAATAACAAAACATAAAACCCTTTTCATTTCTAAGAAGAAATATAAAGATTATTGTCTACCTGTCAAAGCACTTTATATTGCTGAAGACATATCAACCGAATTTCACCATCAAGGACTCACAAAATTTGATAAGCCACTGGGCTCAGATGCATCGATTCCTAGAGTATGTGTGTGTGGTGACACTGATAAATAGTAGCAATCCCTTTTTTTCTCCCTTGCAATTGTAACAGCAGGGGACAGGTAGCAATGAGTGGAGTCCTGAAGAAAGGAGTGCATAAATCAACACAGTTAGATATTTTCACTGGTAGAGATTTTACCAAATAAATGTATAGACATTACTTATAGCTGTTATATCCTTTACAATTCTATGGATACAAACTGTGATGATAAAAGCAGGGCACCAAAGTAGGTGCTCAAGGTTTAACGTGCCTTTAATTCTTTTTTTATGACACCATAGAATAAACTTTTTTTTAATGAAAGAACACAGGGATCTTCTCTCACATAAGAAAAAGTATGTTAAAGGGTGTAAAAAGCAGAGGAGCATGCAGTCACAATGAAAGCTAATTTACAGAACCCGGAGTGCAGTTAGTTTCTGATTAGAAGTAATGTATTTTCCAAACCATAGAGCGCACCCCACTATAAGCTGCGCCCACAACATTTTTGGAAAAAACTCAACATGTCATGTATAGATATATAAGCTGCACTGAACTATAAGCCGCTGATATCTACTGAACTGTCTCCCACCAAACCTGTAGGGGGAGCTCTACATATCGCCCCTGCAGCAGGGACGGAGAAGAATGCTAGCTCCCGTTAACTTGTTGGCTCGCAGCAGAAAGAGCTTCTTCTGAAAAATGATACTTTGTCAGCTCTTTATTTCAGCTCTGCAGGAGTTGAGCCCAGTCTCTTAATTAGCTTGGCAGCTTTGATGCGGCAAACAATTTCAAAATGTGTCAATTCGGGATATATGTTTTTAGTCTTGCCTGCTGCTAATATGCTCCTGTGCTAAATGAAAATTAGCCCCTTATTCTTTTATTTTCAACTTTGATTTTTTCCTCTGGTGGTTAGGAAAAAAAAAATCAACATTGGCTATTATTGGTTGCATGGTTCAAAGCATGGGAAAAAGGTAGCAGCTTATAGTCGGGAAAATACGTTAAAGCTACAGTGTGTAATAATTACAGGGATATACAGTCAGAAATGTAATATATTATACATAACTATGTTATTTATCATCATCTACGAGCTCAGCCTCTTAACCTTAATATTTGCGTTGCCTTAGAATTTGTTATTTATAATTACATAGGAGCGGGTCTCGTAGCCATGGAGGCAGACATCTTTGCACTACGGCAGCGCAGAGCCAACAAACTAGCGATTGCGAGATCGCCCATTACACTCGAAAATAACTATGGCAAGTTGTTTAAGTCTACATGAAATCTATACCCTACACAGACTAATGAAATACTATCTGTAAAATTATCTATGTAAACAAACCTCATCACTTGAGAAGGTAGGTGATGCGGACGTCGTGGAAGACATTTTGTCCCGTAACGCTCGCCGTACTGTTGGGGGGGGAGAAGCGGTATGGGGGAGATGTTCATGTTGCTGCAGTCTGCAGTCTGGACGTTAGATGTCGCTGAAAATTACACACTGTAGCTTTAAGTGATTTTTTTGACAAAGGATTGGGATTTAAAAATAAAATTTGGTTTTGCTTTTCTTTTTGTTAATCTGTCAGAGGATGTATCTTTAAAAGATCTTATTGAAGAGAGGGTCAATATAACACTGTCACAGCCTGTCAGAGAGTGGATAATGGCTTATATTAAGAACAATATAAAATGCTCAGTGATGGGCATCTTTCATTTTCCAAGTTCTCATTGATGGATGGAGGTTTGGGCTAAAAATTACATGGTACATTACCTTGCTTGTTTAACTCTTAACACAGATTAGGCGTTCTGTCCCCTTTGCAAAAAAAAAAAAAAAAAAAAAAACAGGCCCAAAGCATGGTGTTTCCACCCCTCCATGCGTCACAGTAGGTATGATGTTCTTGGGGTGCAATTCAGTTTTCTTCTTCCTCCAAACATGATGAGTTTGTGCCAAAAAGGTCTATTGTTGTTTAATCTGACCACATGTTATTCTTCTGGTTCTCTTCTGGATCATCCATATGTTCTCTGGGAAACCTCAAATGGCCCTGGATATGTAGTGGCTCAAGCAATGGGACAAGCCTAGCACTTCAGGATTTGATACCTCTTGGTGTAGTATGTCAATGATGACAGCCATGGTTACTTTGGTCCCAGCTCTTTGCAGGTTATTTATCACAGCCCTCTGTGCAGTTCTGGGATTTTTCTCACTTTTGTCATGATCAATTTACCTCATGGGATAACTGTAGATTATGCAATGGACTTGTATGTCCTTCATTTTCTAACGGTTGCTCCCACAGTTGATGTCTTTGCACCAAGCTGCTTGTTAATTCTAGCTTCACTTTTCCCAGCCTTGTGCAGTTCTGCATTGTTTTTCCTGGCATTCCTTGGCAAATCTTTGGTCTTGATCATGGTTGAGTTTGGAGTCTGACAGTTTATGGATGTTAACAGGAGTCTACAAATACCAATACCAGGTGCCATAAATCCAGGCAATTTCAAGAAGTTACAGGTCTCTGGGGGCCAGACATCTTGATTGTAGGTGATCAAACACTGATTATTCACCACAATACTTTCAAAATTACACAATGTGATTTCCTGCATTTTTTTTCTCAATGTGTCTTTAATAACTGAAGTGTAACTATGATGAAAATTACAGACCAGTCTCTCAATTCTAAGTAGGAGAACTTGAACAATCAGCGGCTGAATTTGAATTTCATTTTGCCCCACTGTAGTAGAACAGCTCAGACTGTGCAACATACTGTAGATGTAATAAGGTGAATTGTCACACCAAGGTTTCCAGGGGAGGGAATCAGGCACTGCTGAATCAACCAATCCCCCAACATATGCTTCCAACAAGATTATCTTGACCTATTGAGGCAGATATATTCTATGTTCTTACCACTATTTTAAGGACAGAGCTGAAAATCTTTGTGTCCTCAGTTACACCACCAATGTAGAGCTTCCTGGAGAAAACAGGAGGGTGGTCATTCTCATCCAGTATGTCAATGAACACCTTGGCTGTGTTGCCTGCAAAAGGAGAAAATCAGAATCTTTTTAAAGAAGTAATTATCTGGACAGCTTTTAACTTTAGCTAAAAAGGTCTAATTTCCATTTTTCTAAGTTTAATGCAAAAGAACTTTGGTAGGCACTGTGCAAAACACCAATCTGAGTGAATGACTGAATTTCAAGTGCCTCACTGTATAAGCAACCAATTTGCTGCACCCTCATACATTTATAAATGAGAAAAATTGGCAAGAAAAGTTTCATGTTTAATAGACAGAAGCTTATTCAGTCATGTGGGCCATAGATGATCAGATGCTGCATAATCTGGTCTTGAAAATGTCTTGTCAGAGAAAGTTCTTCTGTTTCCAAGACAACTCTGAAATGTATTATTTCAATGAAAATAACCCCAAGAAACTTATTTTTTGAAGAAAATCACATCACCATAAGGTAAAAAATATATCTTTGTAATTTGAGGCTTCTCTGAAGAAAAGCCTAAACACTTCTAGAACAGTTTCCAACTGTGGTAAGAGATTGACATTGCTTCTGCAAAAAGATAAAAAAAAAAACTCTTTAATTTGTTTGTTGGCTGCAAAGGATTTTTCATGCAGGTTCAGTGGTTAAATTCTGGTTGCATCTGACCAAAACTACTTCCTCAACATGACTTGTTTGTCTCCTAAATTCCTGATGAAAAACTTTAAAGTACATTTTTTTATATACTTCGGTGATTTGGAATTGTGCAATATGCTGTAGTTTTATTCCAAGATAAATTTTCGAATCTATATATAAATTCTGCAATAATCTGTAGATATAAAATAAAGAGGTTAGTGCTGATAATGAAGACATGAAATTATTCCGAGTTAAAGAAGTATCAGAGATGTAAAAAACGTTTTGTGCAAAATGCTTAATTCTGATCCAAATAAATTTGATCCAATCTGGCTATTAAGTAAATATCTATGTTTTTAACATCACAGATTATAAGTCTCCTTTTCACACAAAGTGATCTAACACAGGGAAGCAATTTTGCATCAATGAAAATAATAAACAAAAGGTTTGTAAAAAAGTACAGGCAGTTTCTAGGTAGATGACGGGATAATAATAATTTAAGCTCCTTGACTCCACTCTTTACTAGAGGCTTTGCAGGAAACTAGCTTAATAAAAATGTAATATTACAAAAAAATAATAATTTTAATGAATACTCTAACAACGCTGATGAAACCAGGTAGTCATACATCCCACACAATGTAATATAAACTGGCCTTTTTTTTCATGGCTTGAGGTATTCAACATGTGTTTTAAAGAGAAACCAAACACTCAATGAGTAAAAGGCTTTTTTTAACCTAATTTGTCATAGCTTCAGTTAAGTTATTCTTAGTATATATATGTGCAAACCCCCTCCAGGTCTGCAGGTTGCATAAGTACAATATCAAAGACTTTTTTCTTTGTACATAAAAGTAAAGTCATCATGCAGGGAAACTATAAATGCAGCAAGAAAAAAAACAAAGCAAAGACAATAAAATGACAAAAACAAACACATAAATTACATCATTAAATTACATCATTTGTTGTGAATATCGCCGGCTGGGGTCAATGGGATGAGACAATAGTTACTTTATATCACTCCTCTCCTATAGTGTCCTCCTCTACTTTTATCTTACACCCTTATAAACGCAATAAACCAGGACCATTTAAAACAAAAGGGTTGAATGGAGACAAGTTAGGGAGCAGTAAGGGGTGTGTTATTGCCTAGAAAACATGGTCATTACATTCTGGCCCTATGAGGAATTAATGTGTATTTGCAGTGTCACAAAATTGTGTAGCACTCCTATGAGGTGAGAAACTGTAACAAATCTATAGGTGAAACAATGGTGTAAAAGCTGAATAAACCAAATCACTGAAATAAAAGCTACTCTTAATAATGAAGCCTCCATAAAAGGTTACAGTGACAAAGGGAAAAGACATCTACCTGGCTTGAAAGCTCTCCCTTATGTGTGTGATAAGAGCCCTCTACTTTCCATCACTTATGGTCGGTGTGCCTGACTAGTGTTTACTTATAATTACTGTCATTAGAATGTAAGGGACACACACAGAGAGAAGGGAAGAGGCAAGAAGAGTAGGCCATTGATTATTTGTTGAAACCCGTTTGTATGCAACATTTCATCATCGGGAACTTGTATGTCAGTAAACTGGCTATTAACAAGCCTAGTGAAAATCCAGATGGAGTATAGACATCTGATAAAATTTTATCTAAATTATCTCTGAACTGCAAACAAAACGAAAAGTTATTTACTTTTCTAAAATGTGATATTTTGTCTTAAAAGTGTAGTGGAGGACGTTCTTTTTCTGGGTGGATCATCAAAATAAGTGCTCCTCCTAATTGTAAATCATTCTTGTGATATGTTTAGGTAAGGCCGTCCTACGTGCTCATCCCCATTTTCACTTACCGCTGGTGAGTCTGACATTGTGGAAAAATTGCAAATCTTCTTTTGGAGAGTAAGCTTGTATGAGCGATGCAAACAGCAACTTCTAAACAGAGCGTGCATGAGGAGAAATGGGCTTGTGCATGCTCTCTCAATAGGCATTCGCTCTCAGGAGCAGGTATATGGTTGTGCATGTACTTTTTTTTTTTTTTAAAGTCATGAAAATTCTCCACTATACCTTTAAGATGGCAGATACAGTACAATTACAAAAATTAAAAATATCTCTGAAAATGAATTAGTTTCAGTGATTCAAATTAAAATAAAACAATAAAACGTAAATTAGTTAAACTTGCTAAAAGTATGGTTCTTATGTAAAAACACACAATATTAAACATATTTAAAAGTTAGTATTTCTTACTTTTAGAAGGCACACGCAGGTTGGACATGACAACCCCCAAAGAATCTGCCTGCACCCTGAGGACGTAGCTGGTTATGTTCTCATAGTCCAGTGGTTTGGCAATGGAGATGACACCAGTGCTGCTGTCTACTTTAAAGTGTCCTGAAAACAAGAAGTAGAAAAAAATATTCACAGAAATCTTCCTCTTAGAACTTAAAACATTTTCTGCTTTGTTTAATATTTAGTTTATTTGCTACCCTCTAACTGCAAAAAATTGTTTCCATTAATTTTTGCTGATACGTTTATAAAGCCAGGTGTAGTACAACAAAGAATACATTTTAGGTAGAGTTCTTTCTTTCTTCAAGAATATTTTATAACCAATATGCATTTACATCATAGTAACGATATTAGAACAGCTAAAATAAGAGATTATTTTATTGTTAATAAATATTCAATATTCAGATATATCAATTATCTTTTCCCTGCAAGTCACTGTCTGCATTATACTTTAAAAGACAGCCTTAGGCAGGAAGCTATGAAAAAGAAAATTTGTGTTATGTATCCTGATAAAGCATTTATTAGTCTTCTCTTCCTGCATTCTCTTCCTGGTATGTGATCTGTAGGCCATACCCAGTTCATTTCCTCCAACAATGGAGTAGAAGATGGTTTGATTCATAGCAGCAGCTAGAATAGTCCCCACCGCAGTGCCAACTGGAGACAGCTCTTTGACTGCAGGAAACCTGCAAAGACATCAAAGCACTCATAAGACAATCTATACTGTACAAAAGTGGCCAAAACAGTTTCAAGAATGCAGAAGAAAATAACACAGAACTATTAGTAGTTATGTCCTATGAATGTTTGACACTATGTGTGGGTGCTTTTTATACACACACAAAAAAAAAAAAATCACACCAATTGCACCAACTTTGAAGAATGTACTTAGTAAATTACCTGATTTCATTTATTTATTCTTTTTAACACTATCCAAGTTTTTGCCTTTTTGCCAGAATTTATCCTATAAATATATCGTATATATTCTATATAAAAACGTTTTTCTCTTCAAAAATATAGAACATGAGCTTTATTGTAATACAGCAAGCTAACATGTTTACATCATAACTATCATGTATGATGTCAGTAATGCTGCTTTAAAAAAAAAAACTTCTAATTCCTATGGTCATGAGCTTTGGGACATGACCGAAAGAATAAGATACAAGCAGCTGAAATGAGTTTTCTCCGTGTTGTTTCTGGGCTCTCCCTTAAAGATAGGGTGAGGAACTCGTTTATCCGGGGAGGACCCAGAGTAGAGCCGCTGCTCCTCCACATCGAGAGGAGCCAGTTGAGGTGGCTCGGGCATGTGATTAGGATGCATCCTGGACTTTGCTGCAAAAGTCCGATTTTCAGAGAGCTTGTGTCAAAGCTGAGAAGTACTGGAACTTAATACTGCCTTCCCATTTTGAGTTCTTATTCTGAATGGAAACACTGAACTGCTTTCTGATGACCTTAAGGGTCCAAATGTTTCATACTTGACCAGCAACTGTGAAATATGTTTTTGTCAAAGACCATTCGGTACTACCTTTGTTAGAGAGTGCATGCTTTCTTATCCAACAAAAACTCTTACAGTAACTTATCCGTGTTGATCCTGCTATTCATGACTGGTTTTAGTACAAGGTGTTGATGATCATTGCTAGGATGATCAACCTAGATCCTGACAAGGGTGGACACAGATATAGCCTACAGACAATAGACAGAACTGTCAATATAAATGTAAAATTTTGAAAGAAAGAAAGATGACATCTTAAGATGTTTAACATTTACCTACTGTTCTAATTCTTTCCAATTGTTTTTACAGTTTTTGATATATGATTAATCTTTATCCAAATAAAAATGACACTTTATTTCAACTATGCATAATTGTTTAAATAGTTTTTATTGGAGCAGTATGTGGTTAAAGTAGATAAAAAAAAAGTATTAATCTTCCACAGAGCGGTGCCACATCTTAGTGTACCAAACATTAGCTGCACAGAAAAGCACAGCATTCAAAGCCTCAACATTCTTTGAGTGTGTGAGTATCGGCTTGAAAAAGAAAACTGAAGCTACAATCTTTTCTGCTGCTCTTTTCTGATGCCTTAGCTCTTATTTACAGGGAAATACTTTGGGTAGGATAACATCCTTGGTTTGTGGCTCTGGCACTGTGATATATTCTTCATAATATGGAAAGTTTCAACTGCAAATCTCATTGGGACTTCAGGGGTTTTCAGTTCGAGACATAGGACAAACTTACCGAGGTATAAGATATGTCTGGTTTCTATCCACTGCAATATGGAATCAATAAGTCCACATTATGAGCTCTTCAGGTGAGATCTTCTATGTAATCATGCAAAATGAATTAAATGATTTAAACATGAATACTATTGGAAATCATTGTTGCAATACTGTGATACCTTTGATCAGTGTATTAGCTTAATTTCAGCATTTGGCCGATTCGATACTCTGTGTGGGCTGACGTTCTCAAAAACATGACCATTTTACTTGAAGAGTACTCACCAAGTAGTCAACTTAATTAAGTTGTATCGACTCACATCTCGACAACTCGAAATAACTCTAAGTGTTGCTAGAAGTAGCGACATCTTCACCCAATTTGCGTATTTGCTAATCTTTAACTCAGCATTAGGAGAGAAGAAAATCCACATGTGCAAGAAAGCATTTTTTTTTTTGACCCCTGAAGATGTAACTACCTACAATATAATGTACCATGGAACCCAGTACTCGAAGAAACCTGAATCCTTTGTGTCTTCCTTCTTATGGAATCTTTGACCTAATTGAAGTTGAATCCATAATTAACTTTTAGATGAATGGTGATTGTAAAACTAAAGCAACAGTCTGATAATTTTTCTCATTTTTCGGGAGCAACTTCAAACTTTTTCCCATTTCCTGAAAACATTTACGCATGCGTCGTTAGGGAAGCAACCCTAGCTGTCATATACACCTTGTGAATCTTCTCGATTAAACTCGTGGATTGGCTTTTCCTTACAATTTAGTCAAAGTAATGGTTATGCCTCTGACTTGTGTCCCTTTCTCTTCCACAATGTTTTCTTTCATTGCACTCTATTGCATAAATATCTGTTCTAATAGGTTAACAAATCAATGATTTGATCATTACCAGATTCTAATATCCTTTATCTTGCTAGCCTTAAGTGTACAAAGCCCCAAAATACAGATCCTGAAATTCTGCTTTTTTATAATAAACATGAAGCTCATTAGAAAAAAATTGTTAAAATAACAAAAACACAAATTACAGTCCAAAGGACAAGAATAACACTGGAAAAACAATGCTGGGGTTACATTCAGGAAAACTTTTTATATGCTGATAGATACACTAGAGTATTTCTTACATTCTTTACTTTTTTGATTGACCAAACATGGATACCATTGCATCAGCAGTTTGATGATAGAACTGGTGTCCAGCATGGCTGGTTCCAAACTGCTTTGGAGGTGCAACAAATGTCTGTCTCTGCACTTTTCCACATAAAATAATGAGGTGCAATGATCCCACAGTGCCTTGAATAAAAGAGATATCTGACATAGCAAAAAGAGAGATTTGAACTTTGACATTAAACTTTTACAGTCTGATCAGATTTAAGAAAAGGTTTTCTGTTACACATTCGCTAGTATGACAAAATGAAGTACAGTATTCTTATCTATTTGTTCACTTATCTTAGGGTTATATTTTAATTTAGAAGAAAAATACACACACACAAAAAATGGCTAAAGCAGACCCTAAATAGCATGATTGAGTTCTAGAAGGCTGGGTATGAATTTGGCTTAAGTGTACAGATAAGCATAACTTTGGATAATTGTGCATTAACAACCAAAAGACAGGGATGTTGGTTGATTTATATCAGAGGTTGCATTAGTTTTTTTTCACTGTCATTTCAACTGTCAAGGTAAAAATCTGTGAATACATTTTTACCTATAACTTAATTTTCTTTTTTTCAAAATGATAGCAATCAAACAATTTTAATCAACATCCAGTCCTAACAAACTGATCAGAGCATCAAGATCAAGCAGATAAATATGTGTAAAATTTTCACTGCAGTGACAAAAAACCCCAAAGCGAATGTACTAAAAAATATATTTCCTGCTGTGACCTAAATGCATAGTCTCGAACCTTCCTCCTGTGTAGAATAGCCATGAAATCTGCACCTATTTGTACCTAAACAAATGTCTTAGTAGTCACCTGCAGATTGTCACATGAAACAGTTAAAAATTACATTATATATTACCAACTCTCAAAGGACACACTGAAATATGGGGAATATGGAATTACCCCTAATTTAGATAAATATATGGATTAAATAGGAAGTGTTAACTAGTTGCTAAACTATCAAAAAGTTACCTGTATAAACAGTTAAGCTTTAAACAATGAAATTTAACAAAATAATAAAAAAGAATAAATAAGCTTTTCTTTAAAAATCCTTTTTTTCAAGCAAATTCCAAGACTATGATTTTTTTATGGTATACAATTTACTTCTAAGTAAAGTCAATGGTACTTTACACACCACAAACAATAAAAATAACAAAACTTTTATAAAGCTAAAGAATGGCATTGACAGAACTAAAACTTGACATGTCTATAGACAGCAGAGGGTCCCGGTGTCAACATGAGAGAGTGAATGACATACCGCTGAGAGGTACGGGCGGTTCACATGTGTCAGCAAGCACTCTGCCCCAGGGCCAATGGCAGAGTGATGCTTACCAGACAAGGCAGAGGCGGATAAACCTTGTTACGCACCACAGGGGCAGCTGTTATTTTGTCTGCCATATTACAATTTATACAGTGACTCTTTTTTGGCAGTGCATAGCGGACTGAAAAATAAGCAAAGGACATCCAATGAAAGGGGGAACTTTCTTAAAACCATTCAAATGATTCATATGTTTTTCATTCCATGATGGCATAGCAATGATGAAAACAATATGCATAAAAATGCTGCACCACAGCTGTTTCATTATGCAGCACAATTGTTCTGCATTTATGAATCAGTCTGCTTAAATGATTTTGATGGATGAATTGAGGCCTTGTAAATTTAGTTAGTTAGCGGATGCATCACCCTGCTGTTAACCTTTTTTTCTTTGCCCGCAAGCATATTTTCAAAGTGATAAACAACCACTGATCTGACATGAACACGATTACACATTGGGAATACATTGCTACTTCTGTTTATATACAAACTGACAAATAATAAAATCCTTGCTTATTAGGAGCCTACTCTTCAGTCAACAAGTGACACTAAACTCAAAGGCTGGTTTCCTTGAGTTTTTCTTTACGGGACAGTGTGCTACAACTTTTAAAAAATGCCAAAATAAAGGTTCTTGCTGTCCACTGAGTCTAGTAGGCTCTTCATTATATCTGACAGGACATCTTTATTAGCATTGTAGTGGCTTAACACTGGTGATGGCAATCTGTGCCTGCAATGTAAACAAGAACCATGAAGCAAGCCCTCTATGGAGCTGCATGGACTAGTCTAGAGAAATCAAAGCCAGATTTTTCATGCAAAGTTAATGAAGAATGATAAATAAAATAGCCGCAAATATTAAGTACATTATTTCAGCTAAGCATGATGCAATTCTGAAGTCACTGACAAATAGGAACCGGTATGTGCTGTGCCACTGGCTGTGGTATGGCTCCCACGTAGGAACAAGTGTGCACACAGTCAAAATAGACATAAGTGCACCTAGG